GCTTTGCCGCTGAGCTAAATCCCCAGCCCCTCGAACTACCATTCTACAAATATTCTCTTCACAGCTCTTTTGGATCATATTTTCAGTACTTTTACAACAAAAATCTTAAGAGACACAATTGGGGAACTTAGAGTTAGGCTGGACCATAAATATCATCGATTATACTCTTCCAGGGATAAAATGTCTACAGATTAAGAAGTATTTAGGCTTCCTGCAGGCTTTCTCCATCTGGTTTTGATTTGTTTGATATTTAAAATTAGCATGACCAAGAGTAATTACACCAACCTGCCCTGAAAATACTTCTTAGACTTTAGCCAAGCATCAAGAGCCCTCTGCTGGACAGCCCATTCAGGACCCCTCCTGTCCCCCAGGAGCTATTCCTATTCCCTATTCCTTTTCTCCAGTAAATTTTCCTACTCTTAAAAAAAAAAAAGAACCCTCTGCTAATCAGGCATAGTAGTGCACACCTGTAATCCCAGCACTCAGGAGGCTGAGGCAGGAGAATCACTGTGAGTTTGAGGCCAGCCTGGGCTAAATAGCAAGACCTGTCTCAAAAAAAGAAAGAAAAAAGCAAAGATCCTGCTGCTAAATCAGCATGTCCCTTGGGACTTCTCCCTCATCCACTGCTCCCAACCAAAACTGCACTATTTAGGCAGCAGCAGTACAGAGGCCAGCAGATGTGAAGAGTTTAGGCACACAGGAGTCCTGAGTCCTAAGAGAACAAAGGCCCAGAATAATGAAAGGTGCCAGAGACTGTGTGGGGAAGAGAGACTGCTGAGGCTAAGATGCGAGACACAAATGATAACCCACAACCAGAAGCTCAGAGCTGAAAGCTCTCCCAGCAACTGGCATCACTTTTCCTGTTTTGTGAGCACTACTTATTCAATTCACTAAAACATGTTTCTATCTTGTTAGTAATAAGTAGACTTCGTTAGGCAGACTGACTGGCATTATGGCCATGAAAATTTCTGTCCCTCATTTTATTAAATGGAAATAACATACATCTTGTTCAAAAAATATTAAAAGGGTTTCTTGTGCTAATTGTGTTTGTACAAACACAGTGACTGTTCCTAAAGCCCACAGACTTTCTACGAGGGTGGCAGGTACCAATCTCACACAGTGACATAGTACAAAGAGTGAAGACTCTGTGCCCAGGGGAAGCGACACAGGCTAGAAGGTAGAATGCCGCGGGGAAAGGGAGGGCCATAGCCCATTTCCAGAAAAAGCCTAAAACCACACAAAGACTGTGCTGAGGCGTGAGTGCAGGGAGCTCCCACAACCCCATGCTGAGCTTCCCCTTGACTCTGAGGACAGTAACACCCTAAGGCTATGTTCACTTCACCTAGCTGCAGTGGCTCTTTGGAGAGGGAATAAACTACAGATATGGACTTTCTAAAAATTTTGAAAATAGGAGAAACTTTTCCCGATATACAAATGTGCATGTGTGCTCAGTGTTTTCACAAATTTCCAATGCCTGCATAGATTAAGACCATTGTCTTCTACCAGCCCTACGGGGAGGAGAAGATGCAGCGCCAAGTGGGCCCCCACTCCTGTGGCCAACGAGGTCCCTGAAGAGCACACCTTGGTGACAGGGGACAGCGTGACCTTCCAAACAAGGAGCTTCTCCTTGCACACCAGGCAAGCCCATCCGCCTTCATCAATGTGGACAGACAGCTGGTCATCAACTAGGGGGGAAACACAAGATATACAATCAACCTTAAGTTCTGAATATGAAAAACTGTTAAATCTCCTTACGCCAAAATCCTCTTTATTACCACAGGCTTCACCAACACAGGTAACAGAAATACACTTACAAAAAATTAATTCAGGGGCTGGGGATTTAGCTCACAGTGCCTGCCTGGCAAGAGCAAGGTCGTGAGTTCGATTCCCGGTACTGGAAAGAAAACAAAACCAAAAAAAAAAAGAAAAAACCAAAAAAATTAATTCACAATAAAAAAATATTCCTAAATGCTTTAGAACTATCGATGCCCAAAACAAGAGATCTATTTGGTAGATCAAATAGATGATTTGATAATCACATTTAGAAATATATCAAGGAACTATATTTTGGCCTAGGTTTGAGATACCTTAAATTCTGTTATAAATAGGTTTCTTACTCTCTATAATAATATTTAAATATTATATCCTATAAGAAATAGTTATGCCAGGCATGGTAGTATACACCTCTAATCCCAGCACTCTGGGAGGCTGAGGCAGGAGGATCACAAGATTAAGATGACCCTGGGCAACTTAGTGATTTAGTGAGACCCTGTCTCAAAATTAAAAAATAAAAATAGAGGGGTTATAGGGGGATAGGGATCGTAGCTCAGTGAGGAGGCTCTGGATTCAATCCTCAGTACCACCAAGAAAGAGAAATATTTCACTACATTCATAATTTTACTGATACAGTTACACAAATAAAACTCCTCTATTAACTGACAAAATGAGGTAAACACAAAGCCATGTCTTAAGCAATGGTGATAAGCTCCCATAAACACGTTAACGCCCTGGAAGCATAAATAGTTTGAGGTTGCTCCTTGCTTAAAGGCAGGGTGAAGGGGCAAAATACAAAGCATCGGTAATGTTTTGAGTTAAAACATCAAGCCACTCTCAGGCTATGTGTGGGCCGACGGGACCAGATACTCAGTTGTGTCATGTTTTCTGAAAGTTACTAGTTCTTGGGGGTGAGCCTTGAGGCCTGACTTAGTGCAGTCCTTGGTAATGATTTTCCACACCATGAAGAGGTCACATTTACATTCTTCAATTCATACTTCCTAACTCCAGGGACTTGTGCTCCTCGAATTCTGAGATGTGAGGCTACGTATTGTTACTGACGAGTCTAGTGGCACAAACCAAGAGTAGGTAGAAAGGTTAAATGCAATTTAAACTGAATTGTGGGGAAGATATTTAAAAAAAAAAACAAAACAGACAAATGTGTAATAGAGGTTAGCAGGTTGGGTGCCTGAGAACAACTACCCCTAAAATTTCCAAGGATCGGCTGCCAAGATGTGCAGGTTCAAGCTGATGAGAAATATTCCTTCTTTGTGGGTGTTTCGTTTGTATGTCTGGTACTAGAGATTGAACCCCAGGCCTTCACACTACACTACATCCCCAGCCCTTTTTTATTTTGAGTGAGGGTCTCTCTAAGTCACTAAAATGCCTCAGTCTCCCAGAGTGCTGGGATTATAGGCATGTGCCACCACTTAATGGCTATATCCTGTCTTTTAAAATGGATTACTTTAAACTTTTTTTTAACTATTATTCACTATAAGAAACTTTTAAGTCAATTTTTAACTAAATTAACTGTCTCTTCCTTTATGCTGGTCATGAACAACTAAATTGACTTCAGTTACTCCTGCAGTTTGAAAAACACTGTTCCAGAAAAGCACAAAGGAGGCTGGGGCAGGAGGATTGCCGTGTAAGGTCAAGCTGAACCTGGGCTACATAGTGAGTTCAAGGCCAGCGTGAATCACTCAGCAAAACCCTGTCTCAAAAAACAAAACAAAACAAAACCACAAAGGCCCAGAGTTGAGTCCTTAATGAAATGACCCAGGCAGATGCCAAGGAAACTCTGAACTATAAGCTTGCATCACTCAAATAACCTAACTTCATACTCTTTGTGTTGCCTGTCTAGGTGTGCTGTCTGTACTTGTCTGCTGCCCACAGGATCTTCCAACAGTGCCCCCACACTGGCAATGGCATGAATCTGTGCACATGGCCTCTTGCTATCACACATCCAGGAATGGAGGGGACTTGATTGTACGGCATTATTAAGCCCAATAGCATAAGGCACTAGTTTCAGGAGTGTTTTTAGAACTAAACTTCATACACCTGATCAACTTTTGAATTGGAACTTAATTTCCCACATACAATACTTTGAAGATTTAATGGGAGTGTGTTAGAATAACTCATTCTGCTTCTTGAATTATTATATATCTCAATTACAGTAAAAAAGTAGAGCTGGGTATGGTGGCGCACACCTGTAATCCCAGCACTCAAGATGGCTGAGGCAGGGGGATCACTCTGAGTTTGAGGCCAGCCTGGGCTACAAAGCAAGTTCAAGCCCAGCCTGAACTGCATGAGACCCTGTCTCAAAAAGACAAGGAAAAAGAAAAAGAAAGAAAAAAAGAAAAAGCAGACAATCTACTTGTTTATTTCCATCTAGGAAAAAGCCCAAATGTCAATGTCTAGGCCAGGCCAGGCCTGGTTTTGATTTGCTAACAGAGGCAAAGGGAAAGACAGCACTTACCCTCCGCCAACGTTAGGGCTTCCATGACTTTAACGGGAAGAGATGATCCAAACGTTTTCACGTCATAGTTCACAGACTCAGTTATAGAGTGGTGTGGTAATATCCGTGTAGGTGTTCCTCTGAAGAATAGAAATTGCAGTATTTCAAACTTAAAATTTTATAATATCCTAGTTTTTATGTATTTATTTATATAATAAAGATCCTTCCGATAAACAAGAAAATGAGCTGTAACACTGAAAAAAAAAAAGCAACACTAGCTCACATATACTACATTTAAAAATGTATTTCTCACTTAAAAAAAAAATAAGAGTGATAGGACTTAGGGAAACATGGCTTCAGGCCCTAGCTCTGCTCAGAAATCAGGTGCATAACTTTATTCACTTTAGAGCCAGGCATGGCAGCACACACCTGTAATCCTAGCACTCTGGAGGCTGAAGCAGTAGGATCGTAAGAGTTCCAGGCCAGCCTATACTAAATAGTGAGACCTTGTCTCAAAAAAAAACAAAAACAAAAAACAAAATGCCTTTATTCACTTAAACTCCTCATCACTCTTGCTTACTAGTGAACTAAGAAGGCTGGACTAAAATTAGTGTGTTTCAAACTGAGAACCATTTGAAGGGTCTCAATATTTTTGAAAGGTTAAACATAGCCTCTTCCACGTCATCACAGATGTGCCACAAACATTGAGGGGATAATCCTCAAGCTCTCACCCAGCTCTGAGACTATAAGACCTGCCAGATCTAAGCAGCAAACAAAAGCAAGAAAGTGAACAGGTCTCAAGCACCTGATGCTGATCTCACTACAGACCACACTGATAGGGATTCTGTCTCCTGACAGAATACCATAACAAAGGTGTTTCTTTAAATGATCACCAGAAGGTAGGAAAAGATTTTAAAGAATAACACACACATTTTATGCAAAGTCTGGCTCTCATTCTGACTTTTCTCAAAAGAAAAAAAATACAGAATGAGCTTTTTGAAGGGTACTTTTCAAAATGTAAAAGTCAAGCACATAGTGTCTTCTCTAAGAATCATTTCTCCTTTAAAGTACTGCACCCGGGTGTGGTGGTGCATGCCTATAATCCCAGCATTTGGGAGGCTGAGGCAGGAGGATCACTATGAGTTCGAGGCCAGGCTGGGCTACAAAATGAGTTCAAGACCAGCCTGAACTGCATAGTGAGACCCTGTCTCAAAAAGACAAAAAAATAAAGTACTACAAACTTTTATAGTAAATTCTTAAGACTCAACATTTGCTACATTCCTGTCAGGAAAAATTCCCTTCTCAAAGATGAACCCAGGCCGGAGATTTAGCTCAGCAGTGCAGTGCCTGCCTAGCAAGCAAGAGGTCCTCAGTTCAATTCCCAGTACAAAAAAAAAAAAAGAACCCAAAAGAAAGTATTCATAGCAGATGTTTCCTCCCTTTGAAATTTCATGGTCACCAGGAACTCCAGGGACAGGAAGCACGATTTTGCTGGAATGTAGATTGGTGCTCCAGTAGTTTTAGTAAAAAAAAAACACTGCTTTTACTTCACTGTGAGAAGAGCTTCTCCCTATAACCTGGCTACAGAGTGAAATTCTGTAGCAAACAGCCCTTTATTTACCATTCAGCAGATATTAATGACAGCTGGTATGTTAGGCATGAAGTAACAATTCTGCCAGGGTTAGAGATTGTCATTACTGTCATTACTTTAGATCTACATCAGGGCACCTGTTCTTCACTTCTCCAAAAAAGAATGCCAGCTTCCGGGAGTCATGAAGATTGTACATTCTACCTTCTTTGTTCTAACATGTTGAAGTTCTTCTTTGTTCTTCTTTTTCTAATGTGCTGCAGTTAGGGAAAACTGTTGTCTAGGTTAGTATAGGGGATCTCAGACCCAAAGCCACAACTTCACTGGTGGACAGAGGTCAAGCATTTCAAGAGCTATGACAGCATTTGCCACCAAAGCCTAAAACTTCTGTGTTAAGACCAAGTGGACACAGGTTAGTGACATTACATCACCTCCCAGCCTCAAGAACACATCCTTACAAAGCACACTGCGTATGTTAGTACACGACAAGCTGAGCATGGTGGAACAGTCCTATAATCCCAGAACTGAAGAAGCTCACCAGGAGGCTGAGTTTGAAGCCTCTCTCAAAAACAATGAAAAGCCAGGTGTAGTGGCTGTAATTCCAGCACTCAAGAAGCTGAGACAGGAGGATCACCTCAAGTTCAATGCCAGCCTGGCCTACATAGCAAAACCCTGTCTCATCAAAACAACAGCAGCAGCAGCAACAAAATACTGGTATATGACAAACTTATTTCCTATGATTTCACTAGAAAATAAGGGTACTACTCACTGAAACCTCTACTTAGTATCAGAGGACATGAAACAATGAAGGAAACAAGTCCACCTGCAAGGAAAGACGTGTTTTTGCTAAGGAAAGCTAAGAGGGATAGAACGTATGCCTTGGCAAAAGAAGAGTAAGTTTGGTTCTAACATAGAGTGACTAGTTTGTCCAAAAGGAGAAAAAGGAAAGGTACAAAAACTAAATGTAGGCCTGGGGATATAGCTCAGCAGCACAAGTGCCTGTCTTACACTATGTAAGCGTAAGGTCCTGAGTTCAATTCCTGACACCAAAAAAACTAAATGTATAAGAAAGTTATAGAAACTATGTGGAAATTTGTGGAGTTATTGCATAGATTTATTTATCAGCTTTTATTAAGATCAGCTTTAGTATTATTATACTGAGGCAAAAGTAGAATTTTATCTTCTCTGTTAAAATGAAAGTCTTGTAGTACCGATTTGAGAATGTGAACCTTTTTCCATTTTAAATAATTGGCCTAAGAAGCAAAACTTTTGTGTTTTCTCAAGATAATTTCTTGTGTTTTACCTTGTCTCTCTGGCTTTGAGTATTTGAGTCATCTTAACTTTTAAATGAACTAAGTTTTTGCTCACAATTATGTAACTTTCTGTCTCTGCCTTTAAAATCTTTTATTGTCTGTCACCTTGACTAAATCGACAACCAAGATCCTATTTGTTTTAAACCTCTTGATATTTTTTGACAGACTTCCCAAAACTAAACTCTAAATCAAGTCTTTCTGACCCTGAACTAACTGGGATTTTCCAGACAGGCCTTAAAAAAACTACAAAGGATGTGTTTCTCATCTGGTAAAAGAAACACTAAGTTATATGGGAAGTACTGTCAAATAATAAGTGCCATTCAATCTTCTTTTAGATACATTTATGACTATGATATTGATACAAAGTTCCAAACACTGTATGAGATACCTAGAAATCTTGGGGGCACTGGGAATTGAACACAGGACCTTTGCACTGAGCTATATCCCCTAACCCTTTTAATTTTTTATTTTGAACAGTTTCCCTATGTTGCCTAGGCTGGGGTGGAACTTGAGATCCTGCTGCCTCAGCTTCCTAGAGTGCTGGAATAACAGGTGTGTACCACCAAGCCTGATTGGATCCTAAATTTTCTAATGTTTTTCCAATGAAATCCTAGCAGTAAAAATGGTTCTATTCATGAATCCCTGTAAGCCAAAGCTGTGCAACTCAATGGAAATTCAATGGACAAGTACCATGCCTGATGTGAGTGTACCAAATCACATAATGCTATGACCAGAGGATTTCTGCAAATTTGAGGCCAGCCTGCTCTACACAGTAAGTTCAAGGATAGCCTGAAATATATAGCAAAACCCAGACTCAAACAAAAAAAGAGAGAGAAAGAAAAAGAAAACTATAAACCAGGATAAGAACTCAACAGAGGCTGAGGCAGGAGGATCACTGTGAGTTCGAGGCTAGCATGGGCTACAAAGTGAGTTCAAAACCATCGCGAGGGGCCAGGGATATAGTTCAGTGTCACAGCGCCTGCCTGGCAAGCCTGAGGTGATGAGTTCGAATTCCCGGTTCCCCCACTCTACATTAAAAGATACCACAAATACAGAACAATTTGGGGCCTGAGGATGTAGGTCAGGGGCACAGCACCTTCCTGGCAAGCTCAAGTTCACGAGTTTGATTCCCAGTACAAAAAAAAAAGCCCATCCTGAACTACACAGTGAAAACCTGTTTCAGAAAGACACCCCCCCAAAAAAAAACCTCAATAATTTTATGCTGTGGACAGCTTTTCCTAAGTTATTGGAATAAGACTCTACATTGTAACAAAATGCTTAATCTTTCTTAATTCTTCCTTGCTTATGCCTACTGTTTTCACTAGAAAGGATAATACCATAACTAGGCCTTCACAATCCATTTTTTTTTTTGGTAATATGATAGAGTGCCACATCAAACTCAAATCTTTACATGACTTAAGAGATCCTTGGGCAACCCATTTGGGACCCCTCCTGTCTCTCAGGAGCTATTCCTATTCTCCAATAAATTTTCCTTTCTCCAAAAAAAAAAAAAAGAGGGGCCAGGGATATAGCTCCACGGCACAAGCACCTGCCTGGTAAGGGCAAGGGCCTGAGTTCAAGTCCCGGTACCAAAAACAAAAAATAAAAAAAGAGAGACAGAGATCCTTTAGCAACATCCCTAGGCAACTGTTCAAGTTGTACTGGTGGTCTCTTCTATAGTTAGACTTGTAGACTCATTTGTTCTCATTCCCTGCTTTAATTTATCAGTCTTGGGCCACTACATAACAGAACTGCTGCCTACTATCTGAACAAGGAGGAATCTGCACAATTGCTAACATTTTCTGTTGAACATGTATAAATACATTGGTCATCATAGAGACTTAGTTGCAAAAAATATATATTAAACAAACTATTTGATTAAAAAAGATTCTTCATCTGGTTCATTCCACCCTTGGTACTGTCATCTATTATAATAGTAGTTTTCCTGATACCGTGTATTCTCCCAAATGTTTTCAATGTAGTTATCCACCAAACATGAAATTTCGGAAGGACAGAAACCCAAAGAAATATGTAACGAGTGGATCATAGTCTATAAATGACACGCTGAAATTGGATCACAGGATGATGAAGAGTAGCACTTTAGTTTTGGTCATACTCACTTAGTGAGATCCTAACCAGAAGGTGGAAACTGTTAAATAAAGATTACTGGAGGGTACTGTTTTGGACTGAGTTCCTGAAGTAGGTCCTAATTAACCAGACCAAAAGGAAGTCCCTTAGGCCAAATATTACATCACATTGAAACTTTATGGAGACAAATAGACCCCAAACCGATCAAGTTTCTCTGAAAACAGGAGATTCCAGACAAAAAGAAATCAAGTTTCCATTACCTTACAACAAGGTAACCCGAGGTAACTTGATGCTAATCAATCACTCTTCTGTTTTTGGTCTGTTGTTCTGTTTCCACCTTACAAAATTCACTGTTCAGCTATTGCCCATATCTATTGTATACTGCAGACGTGCTCGCTTCCGCAGCACAAATAATAATAATATATCTACAGCGTAGAGTGAGGGCTGCGTAGATCCGTAAATCGCAAATAAAAAGCTAATTAGAACTAGTGCATAACTAAATTCGCTGGAATCTTGTTTTGCAACACATTTAAAGTGCAAAGTGAGGGTTCACCTGATAAGACAATCATTGGGAAAGTGAAATAATTTGCAAGATTGAGCAGCCCTCCCCGCGCTGCCCGGGTTCCAGCAACTAACCATTCTCCCGTTAGAGTCTGCTGGTCGTCGGACCCAGCCACTGGCCATCACTTACCGCGAGCTGAGAGAGCTGCGCCGTGATACCGGGGAGAAGAGCACTGGGGAGAAGACCGCAGAACCCAAGGACTGCCCCCTCCTGCTTCGCGCACGGGGCGTTGAATTCGGCCCAATTCCGACCAGTGGGACCCTTCGGGATCCGGGACCCGGGGTCCCTGGAGAAGGGATGGCTGGGAACATGATCGAAGAGAGCAGCAGCAAACGAGCTAGGGCTAGGTCCAAGATAGAAGGGCGGTCTTTGCGCGCCGTGAGCTTGAACAATCAAGGGGTGGGAAGGCGCAGGGAGATGACGTCAAAACACAACCTCGCGCCTCGTGTAGCGGTTGGAGCTAGAGCCGGGCGCCGTATGGCGATGACGCCAAAGAGCGGGGCCGACTTGCTGGGCGTGCTCGGAGCTGAAAGGTCTCTATGCGGTGACGTCAAAAAGCGGTGCCGACTGGCGGGGCGTGGTGAACGTGTGCGGGCGCGAGGCGGTGACGTAAAAGCCTTGTTGAATCGATTCCCGGGTTCTCCCTAGCGCAGCTCTGCAGCTCTGCAGTAGTCCTCCAAGCTCTTGACGTCACATACCTATCCTAGCCCACACCTGGCGTCCGGCGCCCTCCTCATAGTGGCTAATTGTTCACAGCCGAATTCACATTTGCCTGCTGCGGCTCCGATCCTACTACGAGCAGTCCAGCGTAAAGGAACCGGCCTAGCCCGAGGCACGGAGAGGCGCCGGCCCGGAGTCAGCCCCGGGCCCAGAAGAACCCAGAAAATCGTTTATCTGCACGGCCCTGCCCGGCACGGGCACTTGTTTTTTTCCTTTTCCATTGCGGAGCCTCTTCGGGGAGAGTAGAGGTCTCATGTCCAGTCTTCGTCCACTCTGTCCCCCCGACTGCCATCCAGGGAACCAGGATGAGTCTGGCTCTAGGGCTTGCACGTACTGGTTGACCACTGACCAGAGGTTATTTGCTGAGACCTTCCGTGATTTAACTCTGGCTGGCTTCCATCCCTATTTTTCCACCAATTCCCACTTGAACTTCATGGTCCAAGAATTTTAAAGCTCCTACTCTCAATTCCTTGCAGGCCCTTTTTTCCTGGGTTGTCTGCCCTCTGTTAGCCCAGCAGGCAGCTCCTTAAATCTTAGTTCAGTGCTGCCTTCTCAGTGGAGCCTCCCGCGAGCTAGAGGTTCCTTTATCCTTTGTCCTCTCCACTCCTGTGTGTAGACTGGTTAGAATATTTTATTCTGCCTAATGATTTTGTGTTCATAATTGTCTCCTGAGATTTTTTTTTTTTTTTTTTTGAGACAGGGTCTCACTATGTAGTTAAGGCTGGTCTTGAACTCACCATGTAGCCCAGGCTGGCCTCGAACTCGTGGTCTTTGATTACAGGCATGTGCAATCTCCCCTGATGGAGCTATTTTTAAATGTCTTCACAAGAGTCCTGGCCTTGTTCCCTTTGTACACACCATAACAGATATATAGCCAACTTTCACTATGTCTTTGTAGAAATAGTTAAGTAAACACTGGTTGAGTACATCCTCCTGTGGGAGTCAAGTGTGTTGGGTGTGACATCTCTGGAAGCCAGTCTGTGCACATTCCTGGCCCCAGTCATCTTTCTTACTTTCTACCACGTGTATTTATCTTGATCTTTGCAGCTTGACCTTGAGCCTTACAGCTCCTAAAGCTCTGTATTTCCTCCTCCTGTCAGTCTTTCCTATTGGGGGGGTGACATAAGAGATGGAGAGTAGTTATGTTGAGGAGGGATTGGTGGGTTCAGTTTTGTTCTTTTCCTCCTTTAAATTTGAGTCTCGGGTATTTTGTCAGGCCAATGAGAGAAAAGTAACTAAGACAACATACTACCCCAAACTGTGGCATCTTGGCATTTGAGAAGACAGAAGAGAAAATTCATTCTTCTGCCCTTCTGTCTTAAGCAGGTCATAAGGCCCTCATGTGAGAGGTGCTCCCCCTGTACCTCAAGGAAAGGAATATCCTTATCTCTAAAGCATAAGGACCCAAAGAATCTGAACAGGCATTGCCGAGGGTCCTCATTGTTGACATTGAGCACACCTCTCTGTCCCAGCATACTTCATCAAACCCAAACACAAGATGCCCACATTTCCCCACTACTTTAGATCATTTTCCTGAGGCTCCCATGTCACAGGAAACTTAACATTAAATAAATTTGTTTTTCTCTTGTTAATCTCTGTGTCGGTTTGGGGCTTATTTTGCAAGGGGAACAA